AGAGAGAGAGAGAGAGAGAGAGAGCTGTATATTAAGAAATGATAGCGATATACATATTAATGATGGGAAGGGAGTGAGTATTGAAGGCAGTGGTGGAGAATCGGATCACGAATGCCGTAAACTATGGAATTGAGAAGAACTGGATTTGGATTACTTTCCGTCAGAAAAAGTGTGTTTCAGAGCGAAGGGAATGAGAGCTGAAAAACGGGAGTTATCTTACAATCAGAACCACTTTCACTCTCAATGCTGTCAAAGAAACATCACTTTCTGTTTCATTAGTTTTATAGACACTTCAGAGTATTTTTCGTTTGATTCTTTAAAACAGAGTATTATTTTAAATGCAGTATATTTTATAACCATTTATTCTAAAACTTATTTTTTAAAAGTTTTATATAAAGTTTTAATAACATTTTGGCTTATTTTATATTTATAATTATATAAATATTTTTCTGTAAATAATCCTACATTTTATAGACTAATAATCGAGGAATAAATATAATAACTATCAAATTAAGTGTATTTTTGTTGTTTTTTGCTGTAATTTGTGTGACTATTAATAGACGAACTGAACTGAAATAACTTGAAGGCAAGTCTCGCAGACACATCACTACATCACTGGTGCGATGGAAACGAGTGATATGTTGCCGGAGCCCATACCAGAGGGAGCGGGAATGGATACTCAGGTCAGTTACCCGCGACCTGTGCCCAAACCGATGCCCCGCTTCGAAGTGACCGAAGATATAGTCATCAGCGGTATATCCGGAAGATTTCCCGAATCAGACAATATGGATGAATACGCGGACAATCTGTTCAAAAATGTCGATATGGTTACGGCTGATGACCGCCGTTGGCCCGTCGGTTAGTATTCTGTGTTTTTGTCAATTTTAGGCTTTATTTTAAACGTTAATAATAACTGTTAGGATATAACGATGGGTTGGGTTCCCGAACGGGTAAACTGAAGAGTATCGATAAGTTTGATTCATCGTATTTCTCGACTCTAACCCTTTTGGCGGATGCGATGGACCCGCAGGCGAGGATTATGCTGGAGACCACTTACGAGGCCATTGTCGACGCCGGCATCTGTCCCCAGACTCTCAGAGGCAGTAAAATTGGTGTTTACGTCGGCATCAATACAGTCGGTGAGTGTCAATACAATATGTTTTGTAAATTTGATTTAAATTAGGTTTAAATTAAGTTTAAATTTAATCACATTTAATTAGTTACAAATTTAGTATAACCTCAATAGAAATACATTTTTTAAAGTATTGGAAATAGTGTTAACTTCGTGGGGAAATTCATGTTAGGATATACACTACATATAGAGCTATGAATATATTAATTTAAAATATCTCAAACTATTAACGATAATTTGATAGTAAATAGCAGTTCACATGTGTTTTTCTGTATTTATCTCATATTATAATAATTAACGTCAAAATATATCATTATATGTCTTCATATGTTGTGCTTTTGTTAATAATAAATTAAATACTTTGTCTTAATATTATGCGCGAATACGATAAACAATAATAGGGTTATAGAGAGTGATAAACATGTATAATATTTCAACACTAGAATGTAATAATTAATCTCATTAATTAGTATACATATATGTATTCACTATAAATTTTTTTGAACCATTTTTGTTGATTTTAAAATACTTTATTTGATTGATATATAAATTAAGTGGAATTAAAAACAAATCTAATTGACGGACAAATTAATATATTTTTGACAAACAATTAATAGCATAAAAGGCTTTCCTCTATCGTTATGCAAATAATCGTTAAAATATTTATTAATAAAAAACAATATAAATATTTATAATATTGGTTACCCTATAGTTATCGTTGGGTCAAATCTAAACTCATTTTATAAGCCTTTTTATCTATGTTTTAATCAAATTCAATGAGAATTAAACGATATTTTAATTCTTTTCGCAAAAATGTCACACTTTTTGCATTCAATTTTGAATTTAATTTTTATTTATATAAAACTAAAATAAACAAAATTTACAAATTATTTCATTACATATTAAAGCATTAAGAATCGCAAACTATTAATGAATTAACTTTTGACTTAAATATTTAAATACAAGTATAAGTTAATGTTTTAACTCTATTTTATATTGAATTTAATTTGTTTTACTAATTAATTAATTGTCCCCAAAGGGCAGCATTTAGAGATCAAATAAACTCTTCACTGACACTACTTTTCCTTTTTATTATAAGATAATACAATATTAGAGGGAATGACCACTAAATATAGTTTGATAACAATTTGTTTAAAATTGAATGACCAAGGTGGTTGTAGACACTATTTTTGTAGTTACAACTAAAAATTTAATTTTAAATATTAAACAGAAAATATTAAAACTGAAAATAAGAAATAAAATATCATAAAACAAACACCTAATCCATTGAATACTGTAATGACAAACACTATGAATGGTAATGTAATGTATGGTTTAATTTCCATCTAAAGCCAATGCCGATGGTATACCTCAAGACGATTACAACGATTGTCGGCGCAAAGAGGCGGCCCTCTGGGTCTACGGCAGCTCTAAGGCTCTGTACGCGAATCGGATCTCCTTCTTGTTTGACTTTCACGGTCCGAGCACTTTGATAGACACGGCCTGTTCCGCGTCGATGGTCGCCCTCACCAACGCTCTGCAGGACATCCGCACCGGGAATTGTGACGCGGCTATCGTCGCCACCGGCAATCTCACGCCATCGCCGTTCTCTAACTGTATCTATCAGTCCATTGGTCTCATGGCTTCCGACGGGAAGTGCAAAGTGTGGGACAAGAAGGCCGACGGTTTCGTCCGATCGGAAACAGTGGGCTCTATATTCCTCCAGAAGCGAAGTGACTGCAAACGAATCTATTCTACTTTATTGCACGCGAAGACCAACACCGATGGCTTCAAATCCATTGGTCTCTTCTCGCCGTTTTGGTTGAGACAAAGGGATCTCATGATTGAGACCTATCACGAGGCGGGCATCGATCCCAATGACATCAAGTTCTTTGAATCTCACGGCACCGGCACTAATGTCGGCGACCCTCAAGAGGCTAAGGCTATCGCCGACGCCTACTGTCACGACAGAAAGGTTTGTCATTTTATATCTCTTTTCCGGTTGTATTTATTTCGACGCTAACTCTTATGATCACTGATAGGAACCGTTGCTATTGGGAGCCGTGAAGAGTAATTTGGGTCACTCGGAGGGCTCGTCGGGCTTGAATTCATTGGCTAAAGTGATCGTCGCCTTCGAGAATAAGTGCATTCCGGCTAACCTTCACTTCGAGGAACCGAAGCCAGAGATCGAGTGTGTGGTCAACAAGACATTGATTCCGGTGATGAAAAACACACCGTTTGAGAACGGAATCGTTGGCGTCAACTCTTTCGGCGTCGGGGGAGTGAACGCACACGCGTTGCTTAAGTCCAACGACAAGGAGGCCACTGAAGACACCTATAAGATATGCGATCCCATCCCACGGCTGGTGAACGTCAGCGGACGCACCGAAGCGGCCGTTAATCACATCTTCGACTTCATTGAAAACAATCCAAAGAAAGTACACAAAGACTTCTTAGCGCTGCTCAACGAAGGAATGAAAACCGAGACCATTAAGGGTTCGTCTAATTTCCCGAACAGAGGATATATGATAATCAAAGAGAAACAACACGAAGACACCGATGC